ACACACACACACACACACACACACACACACACACACACACACACACACCCCTAGCCATGAGTGTTCATAGCAGCTTTTTTCATAATAACCCCAAACTGGAAACAACACAGATGTCCTTCCGCCGGTGAGTGATTAAAGAAATAAGTGCAAAACGAAGTTCAGGGGAGAGAAATGGCTGCAGCAGCGGGAGCAGAGAGATGCAGTGTCGCTGGCTGCGAAGGTGGAGAAAGGGGACCACGGAGCCCAGGAACTCAGGCAGCTTCTAGAAGCTGGAAGAGATTTTCAAAGCAAAAACAGAGTTGGAATCTTGGCAGCACTGGACAAAGGGAAAAGAAAATTACGAACTGGTCTTGGCAGAACTGGGCAGAGAGAAAAGGCAATTGCTAGTGCAGAGCCCCGCTTCAAGGCAGCCTGGAGCTGCAGTGGGCATTGCCCTCCCGGGACCCTCTCTTCCTAAGGACTTCGGGTCGGGGCTGAGCAGCAGCATTCTGCAGCCCTGCGAAGGGCGCCTTGGTGCGCACACCACTGTCTGGGTAGCTCGCAGCTCGAGACTGCAGTTGGCAGGCTTATTCTTCCCGTCTTCCCTCGCCTTGACCCAGAGTGGAGAAAATATTTTACTGAAAAGTGACTTTGTAATGTCAAAGGCCAAAGCTCCTATCATTCAGTGTGGTACAAACTGGGACTTTCAGAATTTTGGTGAACTTGTATATTTTGTGCTTCTTTAAAAGAAGGGTACGGGTAAGTGAAAGCAAAACGGGAGGATAATGGGATGATGAGAGCTTTGGGAGTTGGGTTCTCTAAGGAACTGATGATGCTATACCTGTGATTGTAACTTTGTTGTTGTTTTTGAAGTTTTTATTTATTTGAGAGAGAGAGAGAGAGAGAGCACGAGCGGGGGGAGGGACAGAGGGAGAAGCAGACTCCCCGCTGAGCAGGGAGCCTGATGGGGGGCTCGATCCCAGGACGCTGGGATCATGACCTGAGCCAAAGGCAGACGCTTAACCAACGGAGCCACCCAGGCGCCTCTGTAACTTTTTTTGTTAACACAGTTTGATTTTTAACTCTAAATGAGACTCTGAATTGGATGGTCACATAAATTCACCCTAAAGCCCCCAACTAGTTGGACTCAGTATTATCATGTCCACAATAGACTTTCAAGAACCACTTATAATATTCGGCTTTAAAAAATGAGGGTGTGGGGCGCCTGGGCAGCTCAGTCATTAAGCTTCTGCCTTCGGCTCAGGTCATGATCCCAGGGTCCTGGGATTGAGCCCCGCATCGGGCTCCCTGCTCAGCGGGAAGCCTGCTTCTCCCTCTCCCTCTGCTGCTCCCCCTGCTTGTGTTCCCTCTCTCGCTTTGTCTCTGTCAAATAAATAAATAAAATCTTTAAAAACAATAAAAAATGAGGATGCTTTTTTGAAATGTGAACTAATAGGCTTAAATAAGTTACATTCGTATTTGCTGTTTATAGAATTGATATCGGTGTAGCTTTTGAGTTTATAGCCAACATGGTATCCTGAAACATTCTTTTTTTTTTAAAGGTTTTATTCATTTATTTGAGAGAGAGCATGAGCAGGGGGAGCAGCAGAGGGAGAGGGAGAAGCAGGCTCCCCACTGAGCAGGGAGCCCAATGTGGGGCTTGATCCCAGGACCTCAGGATCATGACCTGAGCGGAAGGCAGATGTTTAACCGACTGAGCCACCCAGGAGCCCCCTGAAATATTCTTTAACTCATAACTAGTTCTCCTAGCCTCAGTTTTAAAAGAAAATCCAATTAAGACTAAGTTACCAACCAATCTTAAACATCTTCTATAAATCCATGCCACTATAAACAATGTAACTAAATGCTATTAAAAACAATTCTTTTTTTTATTATAAAAAATAAAAACAATTCTTAAAAAAACGGGGTAATCCAAACCATGGAATAGCAGCCAGCAATAAAAAAACCAACTGATTCATACAAAACCTAGAGGACTCTCCAGGGAATTATGCTGAGCAAAAAAATAGCCAATCCCAAATGGTTATATTTTGTTATATAGCAAAACTTTCTTGAAATGACAAAATGACAAAACCAGATTAGCGGTTGCCCTGGTGCGAGGAGGGAGCAGGGCCAGAAGGGAAGCAGGTGTGGCTATAAACGGAGCCCGTGAGCATCCTGCTGACCTGTATCGTGACTGTGCCAACATCTGTATGCTGGTTGTCCTAGGATACCGCGCTACAGGTTTGGAAAAGGTAATGTTGGGGGGACATAGGTAAAGTGTTCACAGGCTCTCTCTGTATTACTTCTCACAACTGCATTTGAATCTACAATTATCTCACAATAGAAAGTTTAATTTAAAAAAAAAGTAGCTATTCTTAGCTCTCCATCTGTTCAAAAACAGATGGCAGGCTGGATTTGACCCACAGGCTGTAGTAGTTAATTGAGTTTAATGCAAACACCAAGAAACCCTATACATGTTCATTTAGTGGTGTTTTAGATGCTAAAACTTTAGAGATCTAAGCACAACCAGAGGTCTTAAAAAATGTGTTTTCAGTCATTAGTTCTTGTAACTACTGTAGTGGTTTTCTGGAGGGAGGCGTCCATTGCCACTCCTAACCTGAAAGGGATACAAACAGTGGGTCTGTAACCTCCTCTGGATCTGGTCTTCAAAAGCCTCTGTTCGTGCTTTCCTATCAGCATCATGAGCTCAGGTCTGCTAAGCCACTTACCACGCATCCATTTGCTTTCCGTCTTACCAGGTGTAGTTCTTCTTAACTCTGCTCACTTTCTCTTCATCCCGGGAATTCCGTTTTCCTTCATTGTTTTACCATCAGGAGGGAGCAGGTGCTTAGCTCACCATCATTAACCAGAGGTCTTTATTCAAATAATCATAGTCTGAGCCAACGCATCAGGGACTCATGTGGTTGTAAGGGTTTAGCATGACATCTGGGCTTGTCATCATTCTTACCCAGTGAAGAACTGGGATGTGGGCATATGCCCCAACCTATGGTATTTCGGGCACATGGACTCAAATCATCACACTGGACGTAGCTGAGATTAGTTCTTATCATTACTGCACGTGGTTAGACTAGAAGGCAGGGGGTCAAATCCTAAGCGGAACTTGAAGGAGGAAGTGCAGTAAGATATCCTTATTTGGATGTGGAATTTTCTTCAAAATCCTTTTTTCTCCTGCTTTTTGTTTTGTTTTATTAATACCAATATTTGGGGCCCATCTTCTCCAACTGCAGGCTGGAGTCCTAATCTTAGATACTTAATCAGAATCTATGAGGGTGCTGCAGGAAGAGATAGGAGATTGAACCAGTTATCTCTATAGACCTTTCTAGAAATATGTACATTTATAGCTTTATGGAAATATCCTCTGAGTTCCAGGTAGCAAATTTACATGTCAGCCATAAGCTAAATGCCAGCCTGGGGAGATGCTCCGCTGGGGGAGAGCTTCAGAGTGGGGCAGACTGACGGTGAGGGGCAAGAACAGCTAAGCACAGGGCTCCTGGGGGCTGTTCCGGAGTGGCTCAGCCTCTGTTGTGGGCCTATCAGGATGATATGCATCCTGCCTCAGGCTATGCCACACTGAAATAAGGGAAAAGTTAGGATATGACATAACACAAGGAGGACACTTCCTCAAGGTCACGGTTCACCTAGGATGTTTGCATGAGGGGATTAGGAACTGCAAAGAACTACTTGTGTTATCTATTCTGCTTGACATTTTGCAGGGTTGACACATTATCGAGGTTTGCATTTATGTAGAAAGCAAGGATTTAGAGCATGTTAAGTTTTGCCATTTTGACAGGTAAGATGGTATTCTAATATTATTTAAACAGAAATACCTTTGTTTATAAAGTTGCGCTTTTTTCCCCCCTTGGACTTGCTGGCCATTTGTATTTTTCTTTTGTAAACCAAGTGTTCTCTCACTTATTTGAAAATATTTACTGGTCACCTCTGTTAGCTCCTGAGAAAATAGGGTTAACAAGACAAGTTCCTTTCCCATTTCATTGAGCTCATGATTTAGAGGAAGTAGATAAACATTAAATAAGTAAATAAGTAACACAATTTTTATAAATGTTTCTGAAACTTAAAAAAAAAGCCAAGAATTTGATATATAAGAGTCAGAGTTATTTTATTATGTGTGGGTCTTCTAAACTTTATCTTTTATTCACTTGCTCTGTCATGGGCTGAAAATGGTGAACAAAAGTCTCCACTTACTAGTATGTTTCTGTCTGTCACCCCTTGTACTTCTCGTAATTTCTGTTAAGAAAAACTTGAACATTTTACCTGGTGCAGCCACTGTGGAAGACAGTATGGAGGTTCCTCAAAAAGTTAAAAATAAAACTACCCTACCACCCAGTAATTGCACTACTAGGTATTTACCCAAAGGATACAAAGATACTGATTCAAAGGAGTATATGCACCCCGATATTTAGAACAGCATTATCAACAATAGCCAGACTATGGAAAGAGCCCAAATGTCCATGAGCTGATGAATGGATAAAGAAGATGTGGTATTTATGTACAATGGAATATTACAGAGCCATCCAAAAGAATAAAATCTGCCATTTGCAACAACATGAATAGAGCTAGAGTGTATTATGCTAAGCGAAATAAGTCAGAGAAAGACAAAAACCATTGATTTCACTCATATGTGGGGTTTAAGAAACAAAAGAGATGAACATAGAGGAAGGGAAAAAAAGAGAGGGAGGCAAACCATGAGACTGTTAATGATAGAGAACAGACTGAGGGTTGATGGATGGAGGGAGGTGGGTGGGGGAGGGGCTAGATGGGGGATGGGTATTAAGGAGAGTACTTACTGTGATGAGCACCGGGTGGTGTATGGAAAGGATGAATCACTAAATTGTACATCTGAAACTAGTATTACACTGTATGGCTAACTGCAATTTTAAAACAATATATATATACATATATATGGAAATTGTTATAAAAAAGAAAAACTTGTACATATTCATAATTTTTAGATCTCCATCTTGAATTATATACTCTATCATTCTTTATCTCTTCTATGCTTTTTGCTCCCATTCAACTTTAACAGTGAGGTTGTGAATACTGCTTTCTTCTAGTTTCCTAGACAATTTCATGTTCTCCTGTTTCTTGGTACAAATATTTAAGGCTATAAATTCTCCTCCCAGCACTGTTAACCATATTGTCATTTTCTGCATGTATCACTGATCTACTTTTTGCCCATCCTTCTAGTTTCAGTGGTCTCAAATCACTTTAAAGTATATCTTTTTTATATGATGAATACTTGGGTTTTCCTTATAATCCTATTTGAGACTTTTTCTCTAAGTATATCCAGGCCACTTACATTTACAGAGACAGCTCTTTGATTTTGTTTCTGTCATCATATTTTACACCTTTTATTTCCATCGATGCTTTAAAATAATTTCCAGTATGTGACTTACTTCCTTTGCTCATGTATGTGTTCGATCATTTTAAAGGTTTTTATTTTGTCTTACCTTTAAGTGGTTACCTTTATTTATTAATCTCCTTTTCATTAGTGTCTATCTAATGACGCCATATAAAAATGATGACAGGGCACCTGGATGGCTCAGTTGATTAAGCATCAGACAATTGATTTTGGCTAGGTCATGATCTCAGGGTCATGAGATTGAGCCCTGTGTTGGGCTCCATGCTGTGTGTGGAGCCTGCTTAAGATTCTCTCTCTCTCCCTCTGCCCCTTGCCTGCTCATGCTTTTCTCTCTCAAACATAAATAAATAAATAATAA